GGGCCTTGCAAACTAAATCTATAGGCGGCACAAGCCAGTTATTGTCTTTGCTCCAGTCTGTGGTGAAAGCGTCAACATGACTAGCATTCGGACTCCAGTGCTTGGAATTAAAGTTTGACAGTTTGGCATTGTACTCATTTGCGAATCTGTCTACAGTATGCGGGCCCCACATTCTGTCCATAAAACTGAAAAACACTTGCGACACGCCCCAATCGTCGAGGTCAACCTGTCGACTGAGATAATCTGCGTCGGTATTATCCCGACGAGGGATCCACTCGACTTTCAAGTCTATGTTGTTGAGTCTACAGGAATAGAACATATCCATACTCAGCTCTTGTAGCTCAGGTACCATGCTCCCTTTGTGCACTATGGCCACCACTCCTGTATTGTCCGTACGCAAATGCACGGCTTTGCCCCTTAAAGCTGGAGCAAACGCTCGTATAGCAAGGGATGCCCCTTTTAGCTCACGCCATGTGGAACTTTTACCTCTCTCTGCAACTGACCAGTTTTGTTGGAATTCCATCTTCTGGGAATCCATAGTCCACGCGCCACAGCCTGACTGGCTTGCATCTGTATAGACCAAAACCTGGGGGAGAGAATATTCAGACAATACACGCTTGTTAAGTATCGGCAACTCGGATTTCCAAAAAAATAACTCTTCAATCGCTTTACTGCCTGGAGGGAGAGAGAATTCATAATCCCAGTGTTTCCTATTAACAATCTCCATGTGTAAATACCGTGACTTGAGCTGTGATATGTTCCCAATTACACAAGAAAAAGACATAATCTTCCCTGCCACAGACGCTAATTTTCTGGCAGTCACATGTGGGAGGCCGTCAATTGCCGCTTGAAGCGAAGCCAAAGTGTCCTTTACTCTTTTGTCTGTGGCTTGGATGGAACCATCTTGAGCGTTCCAGATCAACCCCAACCAGGTCAGTTTCTGCGTAGGGGACCATATAGATTTTTCCCTGTTGGGGACGAGCCCCGCAGAAATCAAGTCAGCCTTGACCATGGCGGAAGCAGCGGCACAATCAGCAAGCGTAGCCGCTCTCCCCCATCCATCATCCAGATAAACCACTACATACATACCTCTGCGTCTCCAGTGGGCCACCAAGGGTCGAATTACTTTAGTAAAAATGTAGGGAGCAGTAGTTAAACCAAAAGGCAAAACGTTGAAGGCAAAGTATCTAGTGGTTCCGTGCAGGTCCCACACGAAACCAAGGTACTGTACATGCTCGCTAAATATTTCAATATGATGATAGCCAGATTTTAAATCAAACGAAAACAAAAAATCTCCCATTCTAAAATAACCCAATGCTTCGTTCCAGTCTTCAAACTTAACCTTGTCTTTCCAGACAAATTGGTTCACGTATCGCAGATCTAAAATCAACCTTTTCTTGCCGGAACTTTGTACCGAAACGGTTAAGGGGTTCACGACCTGTGGCGGGGAATTGAACTCCGAAATAAGGTTCTTCATCAGAAGTTCCTCTATGGCCTCCAATACAAACTCAGAATGACTGATTGCAGAACGATTGTTCTTAAAATACTTTGTAGGGGGTGTGTCTATGAAAGGAATCTTGTACCCCGTACGGATTACGTCCAGCACCTCTGGATAAGCGTCAATTTCCTCCCAAAAAGTAATACACGAGTGCATACGTCCTCTTAACTCTGGTTCCGCAACACCCTGTTCGTAATCATAATAGTTGTCTAAATAGAACTCATCGTACCGAGGATCCGTCCTCCGCTCCAAGTACCCTGTGTCTTCTGCTGTCGTTGGTCTACCGGGGACTGACGTCTTTGGTGCCACTGGATTGGATGCCAGCGCAGTCTTTCCTCCAATGGCCCGTTTTTCCGCATCTGAAGCAGATGTCGGAGGATCTTGCTGCTGACACAAAGCTGGCGCCGTATGGGGGACGAGTCGTCGATCTATACTGGCCACTATAGTTGCGAAAAAGACTATCTGGATTAGCCGGTGATGCTGAAGCCAGGCGCTTTTTCTCTTGGGCCGACTTCGGGTTAGATGAGGCCCTGGCTCTCTTGCGTTTGGCCAAGGCCCGAGATTGAGCCGAGCGGATTCGCTTTTCATCTTCTGAGTCATCTGCCAACTCATCACTGACGTATTCGTCGACGGCAGCCCAACCTGGAGAACGAAACCGCAATTGAACATCAATGACCAGAAATGATAAACTGATTACTAAAATGGCGCGAACAGGACCCTGAATGGAAAGTGCGGAAATCGCCCCTGTTTGGCCTACTCTGGTCGAAACAATCAGCAGTGTTAAGACCGCCCGCAAAAAAAAAGGACAAAATAGAAGGGACATGTATTTTGGCGTGTTCCGCCTCTCTCTGCGTACTGCTCATGAAGGTGTAGAACTGAAAATTATGTAAATGTGTGCATGTTAGGGCAAAGCTGAACATGACAAACATACCAACGGACAGACGAAAGGCCAACCCACCTGCCTCTGACTTGTCTGCAAGACGGATGAGTTTGTTCCTCTTACGCAATTCTGCAACCGCGTCTGTAAGGGATTCCTGAGCGGCAGCTGAGGAATTCTCCTGAAACAATTTTTTAGCGGCTTCGATGCTTTGAGCTATTTTCTCGTTGAACTCGAATTGCGTACGGTTACCTTTGAAACGAAATTGTAACTCACTCGCTCGTTTCAGGGACTGAACTTGCTGCAGCGCCTTTTCGCTTTCGAGCTTACGTTCGGCTATAACTTTGTCGAAGTGCGACTGGAAAGAACCGAGGGCCTCAGATACTCCTGCTTTCACTATAGCTGAGACGTCCCTGGCGGTCAAGGACAGGGGCTGTTGAGGACCTTGGGCACATTGTACATCAGTATCGGAAATCTGTGCGTCGCTGGCCTCAGACATCGTGCAGGACACGGAGAAACAGAGAAAAGCACGTCCGGCGTAGCTGTGCTGAAAACGATCAATGGCGACCACACCCTCTCCGTGTGCTTTCTCCCTCGGCACTCTTACGTAATATGCTAATATCACGCGGGCTTTATTGCTTGCGATAGAAAATGGTAATTCATCGACCTGACACCCCACTGCCCGGAAGAATACAGACTGCGGGCCAACATCTTTCCGGAAGAAACGGCATTCGCCTACATACCTAAATAGGCCAGTTTTACGTCAACGGTCTCACTCGTCAACATGACGCAACGGCTGAAGGACAACGCTTACGTGCTGTGCATTCTCAGCGGAGCTTCGCCCAAGAAACGAAAGGACATTCTGAAGCATGCCGACAAGGAACTCGTCACCTGTTTGGGCGAATGTGCGCTGAACGTTTTAAAAGGGCGCGTGCCCCTCACGCCGAGTCAGAAGAAAAAACTGTCGCGACACATGACACATCTGCGTGCTCTGGCTGACAAGAAGTCTTCTCACGCCAAACGTAAACAGCTGCTGGTTCAAATGGGAGGATTTCTGGGACCCTTTACTGGCGCCCATCCTCGGTCGCTCGGCGGGTTACTGTTTTCCAAGTGATGAAACACGCCCGAAAAATCATGATCAGCGCCCCCACGGACAGCGTGACCAGATCCATACAGAATGTGCTACTCTCGCATAACCCCTCGTAGAGTAAACTACAGAACCTGGAGCAGGACATGAAAGACATTTTGGCCCGAACGGCTCTTCCGACGACGCTAAACTGTCGCTGTACCAGCAAACGCTGCAACAGTATCTTCAATACAATCACGCCCGCAAATCCGCACCCATGTCTGTCATCATGTCTACACCGGCGGAGGGATCCAGCAGAGGGTCGGAGGACCAAGCGCCATCGGGCGGCACGACGGACGGAGACCCCGCAACGTTGACTGAGAAGGACGACCTAACACCGCAAATTCTCTCGAGTGTGCCTAAAACCTTACAGCTCAAAACCAACTGCTTATAAACAGCCTAAAGCACAATGACGTCATGACTTGGAACAAAAAGGGTAAACTGGTTTATGAAGGAAATGCTGTCAAGGGTTCCAATATTATCGATCTGGTGAATGACGCTTGGAAGAGTAAAAAGGGTTTCTCTCCTTACGGATATCAGTATTTTATGCGCGGATTGGCTTCATCTAACGCGCCAAATCTAACGTCGTTAGAAAGTTACAAACAAATGGGACCGGAGGAAAAAGATTACTTCCCGATATTCCCACATCCCTTCCACCCATTCCCTCTCGAAGGTGCTTAGGGTTGTGTCCACTCCATTAAAAGCCAGGAAACAACTTCAGTGGGACACGTTGTAAGCGCTGTAGCGTATTTCATGTAGTACACATTTTTCCAAGGACGGGGGTCTTTAGTTTTAACTCGGTGAATGATTGTACACTTAAAAAAACTGACTTTGTCATTGAGCTGTGGTTTATTTACGATGAATGAATAAATGATGGAAGAGGACAATGAACAACGTTTGATTTGACTTTTTTCTTTATAGGAATGTAAGTACTAACATTGACTTGTTTAAACTAACTGACACTAATATACTACGAGGCGTTATTACGTACGAACTAACACTAAATTACTCGAGACATTTAAAAGTTTTCAAGTTTTGGATTTCATTTTTCCTCACACAAATTTGACGACAAATAAACTCTAAGTCTAAACAGGTACATCTGCATTGTATTTCTCTTCGATAAAATCCGGAACCACACATCATTGACGAGGCAGTCATCAGTAAAGACGGACACAATAGCTCTCATGGATATATCCCTACAACGGCGCAACAGGTAAAATAGGCAGTGCTGACCGCAAACCGTCGTGGTGGAAGATTGTAAACAGACTGTATTATACGCGTACTGCGTACTATTCTCGCGTAATAACGATTGAACCTGTTGCCCGTAAGTGTCCGGTGATAGTCCGTAAGAGTCGAAAAATTCTACCTTTCCGTCCTGACGTTGACGGTCGTTGTCAGGGCCTCGGCAAATTTCAACTACAGACGCATGTTACTACGCTTGACCAGGTTGAACTGAGACCCGCTCGACAAGTCCAGAGACACATCAAATGCAAAGAGGGAGTATTCCGACTCATAGTCTTCCCTGATCATCTGATTGCCCTTGACTCGAAAAAGGGTATTTATTTATATCGGATTACAAAGTCTGATGGGACATCATGTACGCTTCGTCTTTGCCGGAAAACTTGGGTTGAAAATGTCACCATGGCGTCTGTTCGTTATCCACGTACAGCCTCAGGTAATTTAGACCGTAATGTTTAAAGTTGCAGGGGTTTTTATGATAGTCGCCGTTGAAGGCCGCGTTATCCACCACGCCAATCACCATGCGCCGGGGGATCTGCCTCAGAAACAGATTTTCACGAGTAAAAGATTGATTTCCTTGCGGAATAAAAGACGTCTTTACCTCCACTCTGCGCAGCGGGTATTTGGCCGTAGCACTCTGTAGGGTTTTGGCGTGCGCTAGAGCCACGGTGGGACTAACGACCACCTTTCTCACGTACAAAGAAGCTTCCACAATCTTTACTTTGTTGTGAGTTTCCGGTAAAGCCGACATTAAACAGAAACTGTTTTGCTGCGATGAAACTTTAACTTCAGGTTGACGCCGTTCAGTAAAAATCTGTCCTGAAATAATATGTCTCCTTGAATCGGTCCCAACATATCGATAATACGGCTCTCCTTCGACAGTTTGTATCTCCGCTTTAATCCCTCGTTGAATTTTCTTCCGCGGTCGGATCGTCCGAGTCCATTTTCCCGCCGTATCTTTGTACAATAGGGCGGCTGTCAGCTGCGATGCCTTGGCCGGTGGTCCGTAAGTGAGCAGGGTTTCCAGCATGGTCTGGTATGGGTACGTGTTTGAGGAAGACGAAACGAGTTTGTCGTTGAGCGTGACATCCACGTCGGAGAATAGGGAGTGAAGCAGTAGATTGACGGGAGCGACGGGAACACCCTCGCCCAGGTCGGCGCCATTTTCATTGACCACTTTAACTTTGACGTTGATCAGGGTGTGCGCCAAATCCAGGTAGTGCTCGGTGGAACCGGTAATGTTAAATTCTATAGAGTCCGAGTCCACGATATTGGTCAGTGGGTTGTACTGTAGCCATTGCCCTTTCAAAATGGAAGTCTGAGTGGGTGGGACGGAAAACAGATCCAGCTCAGACTTAGTGCATTCGCACGAATGTTTACTGATGAATGCCATAGTGGTGTACACCGTTGTTAATCGAAAATGTCGGGGGTCCTCTTCGGTCGCTTGCTCCGAGCCTTTCTGCCTGATGCGCCGGGTGCTTTCCTTTTTAAACCTTTCTCCTGGGAGGCGGATTTCTCGGAGAGTCACTGCATGACTTTTGACGTCATCTTTTTCCAGCCTGTTTCACCCGTTTCTTCGCGGCCGTTTTGACATTCTGTCCGTCGACGGTATCGGCGACGATTCCTGCCCCGGTCTTCAAGGCCTCCTTGCCTATCATTTTGGCACCTTGTTTGATCATCGGTAAAGCGGGTCTGAACAGTCCTCCTAAAGTATTGCCCAGTCCGTATCCCTTCTGAACGGGGGCACCTCTGAAATAATAATCCCCGCCTCTCGCCTGATTATTTTAATATTTTACGTAGTCCACCATGACGGCTCAAAACAAAGAGGGACGACTTTTGCGAAAATAAAACGTAATGGTGAGTTTCCCGCGTTGAAATGGCACTTTCTCTCCCGTGTCGGTCCTTATATCCACCTGAATCGTCTCAAAGTGTTTTCGTTTGACAAGCACGTAATGGGGTGCGCTGAAGGTGTGAGCGATGACATCGCCCTGAGTGACACCAGACTTTTGCACGGGGACGATTCTCATTAAGGGCGCGCTAACGTCCCCCACCAGTTGGTTTTCGGCAATGTCGCAGTACACGTACCTACCGTAGATTCCTCCATTAACATCCACGGGTAAAATGCCCTTCCAGGTTTTCGCTCACTTTCTTGTATTTTAACCCCAACATGCGATACAAATCATCGCCAAAATAAATGTACGCCCCCTCTCGGACTTCTATCTTTACTCTCCCCGTGTACCTGTCCAAGGTGATGACGATATTACGTTTAGCCGCGTCCGTCATTTCGCCATTGATGGCATCTATGATTTCCTGCACGGAAGTGTAAAAGCCGTGCGATATTCTAGCGTACGTTTGCACTCGGCCGCGTTCGCTGTACCTGAACAAATTGTTGCCCTCCGTTATATTGTACCACGTGGAAGGATGATGGATCTCGGTCAGGGCAATCTCCCAGTGTCCGGTCAGATTAATTGGCGTGACCAGGTGCGTGGTGTAACTGGACAGGGTATTGTTCGGGTACAATGACATGGATGAATTACTGGGCAGCGTGACGTAAAATTGCGTGGAAAACGAGGCCATGGTTGCGTCCCTACGACTGCAGGTCCGTCACTCAAGTGTTGAACGACGAAGGATACCCCAACCATTTAACGAAATACTCGGTCTTTCCCTTTCTCCTGCGCTACCGAATCACTTTCTCCACTCGGTATAGATCATCGGTTTTTCGCACCTTTTGCAAAACGAACCGCGAATAGCTTCACCGTTATAATCTTTTAATGCGTGCTTGTTTGCCGCCCACTGTGTTTGGCTATTGTAAATATCTACTTGGACCAGGTAGAACTTTTCAAAGGTCAGCCGCCGTTTACTGACTCGAACCTTATCTCCCACTTTAAACCGAAATTTAGCGGGTGGCTTGGGCGGCGCATACAGACGTTTCCTAACACCGCTTTAATTCGCGCCGGTGACTTCCACGGGCTTCATTCCAATGGTACGGTGGTGCGAATGGTTGTAGGCCTTCACCAATGGCCCCAAGACGTCGATGTATTTCAACGTGTTTTTCTACGTAAAGTACCGCCACATGTGAGACTTGAGCGTGCGGTTGAATCTCTCAATGACGGATGCTTTGACCTCGCTGTTGGTCGTACAGAAATGTATCCCTTCCGTTTTAAGCATTTCTTGGAACGGACAGTTGGTTAATTCACTGCCTTTATCCGTGTAAATCATCACGGGGGTCAGCCGCTAGATCTGACATTGGTCTTGAAAGCATTCACCAGCGCCTTGCCCGATTTATTTT